TTTCCTTATTAATTTGTAGTTCTAGTTTTGAGTGTTTTTGTCTAATCGTGTGATTCAAGTGCATTAACTCTCTCTCTGACTGACTCCCTCACTAGTGTGCTGACTACTGACAGTGCAGTTTATTTGTTATTAAATAAACTTACATTTAGCCAAATTTGCCCCCTAATTGAAGTCCTCAGTTGACCAGCACTCATAGTATCAGCACACCATCAGTTCTCCAAAAGAAACAGTTCGGTTCAGTCAGTGCTAGCTTCACGCATGCTCGTATCTCCAGCTCATCAGTTGAACGTGTCCGTAAGACAGTTCTCCGTTTAGTGTTCTGGAGATTCGAAAACGGCTGCAACCGGTTCTTGAATCGAGATCCGCTGTTGCAGTACGTGAAGTCTGCTGAGCTGAGAACTGCTGCAACTTGAATATACAGTCAACAAAACTACAAATTTGAAGCATCTCTCCAGTATGTTTAATAGGTTTCTACTGATTAACACACAAACATTTACTTTGCACCTATAAAACCTTGGCAAAAGTTTACGTCAAGATTTAGATCAAATCATTTAGATTTTAAATAAGCTGTTCCTGAAAATATCATGCTGTCAGACTCTGTTCCGTGTCTGTGTGTGTTTTCTTCCCCCACGTGCTCCGGGTTATGTTTATTTCCTTATTTGGTCTTCCTGTTCCTGTCCTGATTGTGTTATCATTTGTTCCAGGTGTTCCCCGTTCTGTTCCATTGTTCCCAGGTGTGTTCCATTAGTTTCAGTGTATTTAAAGTGTTTCTGCCCCTCGTTTCCCCTTGTCAATCCCCGTGTCCTACATGTGATTCCTGTGGTGTCAATGTCAATAAAGACTGTATCCTGATTCTCCAGCGCTCTTCTCGTTCCTTGTCCCTCGCACCTCACCGTAGGCGCACCGTGACAGAATACCGGACCTAAACAGAAAGTAAGCTGTGCCACTTCTCCCCGTTTTGTTTTCTTGTTTTTTCCCCCCGCGATCATGGAAATTGCCGCTCATTTCTCAGTTTCTCCGCAGCGACGGCATTGGATGACACCACCATCAGTTCTCTGTTCTGGCTCAGGCCCAACTCCCATCGCCCCATGGACCTCCCAGACACCAAGGGACTATGCTGGAGGGAAGAGATCTACCGGTGTTTGGGGAGTGTCCAGGCCCGAGCCAGAACCAGCCCGCCGGCCGTTCCTCAGTCAAGTTCGCGGGCTGCTGCTTGCTCAAGCCCGCCGGAATCTCTGCTGTCAAGCCCGCCGGCCGCTCCGAAGTCAAGCCCGCCGGCTGTGGCTCTCTCCAGCCCGCCGGCCATGGCTCACTCAAGCCCGCCGACCACTCCTTTCACCCCGAACCTAAAGGGGAATCTAAGGAGGAGAAGGCGGTCAGCTCCAGCCCAAGAGCTTGCTCCAGTGTCAGCTCCAGCCCCTGAGTTCGCTCCAGTGCCAGCTTCTCGTAAGCGCTTCCCACTCCCTGAATCCAGCCCAGTGAGGGCTCCAGTCCCCGAGTTTAGCCCAGAGAAGGCTCCAGTCCCCGAGTTTAGCCCAGTGATATGTCTCGGCTCCCCGTTATAATAGCTGCAACGTTCACAAATGTTTACAGAACATCCTTTCACCCCGAACCTAAAGGGGAATCTAAGGAGGAGAAGGCGGTCAGCTCCAGCCCCAGAGCTTGCTCCAGTGTCAGCTCCAGCCCCTGAGTTCGCTCCAGTGCCAGCTTCTCGTAAGCGCTTCCCACTCCCTGAATCCAGCCCAGTGAGGGCTCCAGTCCCCGAGTTTAGCCCAGAGAAGGCTCCAGTCCCCGAGTTTAGCCCAGAGAAGGCTCCAGTCCCCGAGTTTAGCCCAGAGAAGGCTCCAGTCCCCGAGTTTAGCCCAGAGAAGGCTCCAGTCCCCGAGTTTAGCCCAGAGAAGGCTCCAGTCCCCGAGTTTAGCCCAGAGAAGGCTCCAGTCCCCGAGTTTAGCCCAGAGAAGGCTCCAGTCCCCGAGTTTAGCCCAGAGAAGGCTCCAGTCCCCGAGTTTAGCCCAGTGATATGTCTCGGCTCCCCGTTATAATAGCTGCAACATTCACAAATGTTTACAGAACAAGCTGGAACCCAGTGTGGCAAATGACTACAGCCCCATTGACTCCCTCTGCCAATGTATTGATGAAATTAACAGTTGGATGTGCCAGAACTTTCTTCAGTTAAACAAGAAATATAAACCTAACAGACCACTCAAATCATTAGGGTCAAGTCAGTTAGAAATACCAAGGGTTCACACAAAACAAGGGGAGTCTGCTTTTAGTTATTATGCCGCCCGCAGCTGAAATCTGCTTCCAGAAGAGATCAGATGTGCTAAAACATTAGTCACATTTAAATGCAGACTCAAAACTAATCTGTTTAGCTGTGCATTTATTGAATGAGCACTGTGCAACGTCCAAACTGATTGCACTATATTTTATGTATAATCATTTTCTATTCTTAACTGTTTTAAATTCATTTTAAACCTCTTAAATAATTTTTTTAATTATTTCAAAGGTTTTTAAATTCCTTGTATTATTGTTAGTATTATTATTATTATTTTCTTTTCTTTTATGTAAAGCACTTTGAATTACCATTGTGTATGAAATGTACTATATAAACAAACTTGCCTTGCCTTGCCAGAGAGGGCTCCAGTCCCCGAGTTTAGCCAGAGAGGGCTCCAGTCCCCGAGTGTAGCACAGAAAGGGCTCCAGTTCCCATGTCGAGCCCAAGGAGGGCTCCAGTCCCCGAGTTTAACCCAGAGAGGGCTCCAGTCCCCGAGTTTAACCTGAGAGGGCTCCAGTCCCCGAGTTTAGCCAGAGAGGGCTCCATTCCCCAAGTTTAGCCAGAGTGGGCTCCATTCCCCGAGTTTAGCCAGAGAGGGCTCCAGTCCCCGAGTTTAGCCAGAGAGGGCTCCAGTCCCCGAGTGTAGCACAGAAAGGGCTCCAGTTCCCATGTCGAGCCCAAGGAGGGCTCCAGTCCCCAAGTCAAGCCCAGGGAGGGCCACCATTCCCGAGTTAGGCTTATGGAGGGCCTCTAAAAATTATATTCTCCCCAAGGATTTTTTTGGGGGGGTAGTATGGGTCCGTCCGTAGTGGCTGGGCCCGAGTGGCGATGCCAAGGCCATGGAAGCCATCCAGCCATGACCTCCTGAGTTCCCTACTCCGCCATGGCCTCCTGAACTGTCTGCTCCGCCATGGCCTCCTGAACTGTCTGATCCGCCATGGCCTTCTGAGCTGCCTGCTCCTCCAGGGCTCCCCAAGCTCCCTGTCCCGCCATGGCTCTCCGAGCTCCCTGTTCCCCCATGGCCTCCTGAACTGTATGCTCCTCCATGGCTTCCTAGTCTGCCTGCTCCGCCATGGCTCCCCTGAGCTCCTTGTGCCGACATGGCACCATGGACTGCCTGATCCACCCTGGAGGTATTCCCCGTGTCCCAGTCCTGCACCAGCCTCCAGGGCTCCCACCCTGTAATGTCAGACTCTGTTCCGTGTCTGTGTGTGTTTTCTTCCCCCATGTGCTCCAGGTTATGTTTATTTCCTTAGTTGGTCTTCCTGTTCCTGTCCTGATTGTGTTATCATTTGTTCCAGGTGTTCCCCGTTCTGTTCCATTGTTCCCAGGTGTGTTCCATTAGTTTCAGTGTATTTAAAGTGTTTTCTTCCCCTCGTTTCCCGTCCGGTATTGATCGTCAAATCCCTGTGTCCTGTGGTGTCAATGTCAATAAAGACTGTGTATCCTGATTCTCCAGCGTTCTCCTCGTTCCTTGTTCCTCGCTCCTCACTGTAGTTGCACCGTGACACATGCATTATTGACGAAAAACAAATAAATGTTTAGTTTTACAGTTTAACGAACCTTTTATTGTGATTCCTGTCTTTTAAAAAAATACAGTGATGAAACACTAACTATGTGTTAAACATGTTTCCAGCGTTTTTGATTTTGTTACACTTTCTGATAGGGATGTAACGATTCACCGCGAGTTGGTTGAAAATCGATACAAATGTTACAAATCAAATTGGTTGAGATGTTAAACGAATCGCTACACATTTTGGGGGTGAGAGTTTATATGAATGTATCTCTGAGGGGAACTGACTGTCTTTAGAAAAGTTTACCACATATTTTCTTTACATCTCGTCTCTGTATAATCCATACTACAGTAGTGTTCATAAGCGCTGCACTGCTTTGTTTACAGAGGTAACCAGGGTGTGAACTACGGGGGAGCTAGGGGAAGCTTGGCTCCCCTTAATAAGACATGGGCTCCCCTGAAAACGTGATTTGTGAAATTTTGGGGGGTCTCAAAAAATATTGACAATGTGTTATTTTGACGTGCAATTTCAGTTTTGTGTAATGTGATCATCGTGGATTATTACAGTGGGTAC